GGGTGAAAAGGCTGGGAAAAAGGGGGGGAACTCACAAAAAACGATAAGAGGTATGTGGGGACTAACACGGTTTAAGGAATATTACAGAGAAAAGGGAAAGGAAATTGGGGGGACAGACCAGGGGGACACCAAAAGGAATACACCAACAAGTTTGGAAAAAAACTACAGATAGGGGTAAAGAAACTGCTAAGGGCATCGATCCCTCAAGGAAATGGACCGGACAAAACTCCCAGGGGGTCCTTAGAGAGGGGGCAATATGTTGTGGTACCACTTACCCAAACTTCAAACTCCCTGGAAAAGGGCAACTACCTGAGGGATGGAAGACAGCAAAAGTGTTTCCCCTTTTAAAAAAGGAGACAGAAAAAAGGGACTAAATATAGACCCGTGTCATTTACGTGTATAGTATCAAAAATTTTGGAGAAGATTATCAGGGGAGATGGTGGGCACCTGGAAGGAAAAGGGGTATAAAAACCAACCAGCACGGATTCACGGGGAAGGGAAAACCTGGTCCAAAACCTTCGGGTTTTATGATAAAATAACAAAGTAAGACAAGAGAGAGAGGGGTGGGTTATTCATCTTCTTGGACTGCAAGAAGGCCTTTGACACGTCCCACAAGAGATTATCAGAAGCTAAGATGCGCATTAAAAGGAAGGGAAGCAATGGTCAGAGAATACCTCAGGGAGGCAACAAAGAGTCAGGTACGTAATGATGTACACAGGGGCACCTGTGACGAGCGGGGGTCCCCCCAAAGGGGGCGGTCCCAGGCCCTGCTATTTTTGGTAATGTACGAAGGGGCGGAAGGGGTTTTGATCAGAAATGTCCCTGTTTGCAGGTGTGAAGTTAATGAGGAGAATTAAATCTGATGAGGACCAGGCAGGACTTCAAAGAGACCTGGACAGACTGGACACCTGGTCCACAAATGGTTCTCGAATTTAATCCTGCCAATGAAAAGTCATGAAGATAGGGAAGGCACAGAAGACCACAGACAGAGTATAGGCTAGGTGGCCAAAGACTGCAAACCCACTCAAGGAGAAAGATCTTGGGTGATTTATAACACCGAGCATGTCCCCGGAAGCACACATCAATCAGATAACTGCTGCAGCATATGGGCGCTGGCAAACCTGAGAACAGCATTCCGACACCTAGAAAGGAATCATTCAAGACACTGTACACCGTGTATGTCAGGCCCATACTGGAGTTGCAGCACCCGTTTGGAACCCGCACTTGATAAAGCCGTCAAGAAACTAGAGAAAGTACAAAGGTTTGCAACAAGGTTAGTTCCAGAGCTAAGGGGAATGTCCTATGAAGAAAGATTAGGGAAATCGGCCTGACGACACTGGAGGACAGGAGGGTCAGGGGAGACATGATAAAGACATATAAAATACTGCGTGGAATAGACAAGGTGGACAAGGACAGGAATGTTCCAGGGAGGGACACAGAAACAAGAGGCCACAATTGGAAGTTGAAGACACAAATGAGTCAGAGAGATAGTAGGAAGTATTTCTTCAGTCATAGAGTTGTAAGGCAGTGGAATAGCCTAGAAAATGACGTAGTGGAGGCAGGAACCATACACAGTTTTAAGACGAGGTTTGATAAAGCTCATGGAGCGGGGAGAGAGAGGGTCTAGTAGCAACCGGTGAAGAGGCGGGGCCAGGAGCTAGGACTCGACCCCTGCAACCACAAATAGGTGAGTACAAATAGGTGAGTACACACACACACACACACACACACAGAGCAGGGCCTCCTGAATGACACTAGAAACAAACACGACCTAGATAACCTTGAGATGGCTGTGGGTCCCTGCTGACGTGTGTCCAGAAATACATTTACCAGCATTATCAAGAGCATACAACAACAACAACAACAACAACACCATTATTTTGCTCTATAGAGCTTAATCAAGCAGTGACTTGATAAAGCTCTATTCTGAGCGAAACACTGGGCCTAAACGTTCCTTCTGCATTTTGTATTGTCACAGCCAAGCCTCTAGTCTTTATGCTTGTATTATGGCACAATATCACAGAAATGCATTGTCACGTCACAGAGAGCTCAGCTCTCAACAGAAAGAATCCGGGTTTAATCCCCAAGCGAGTCATGTAGGCAAGTCACCTTACACCTGCTACCCCTGTTAACCTAGCAGTAAATAGACACGAGAGATGCATTCTGGGGAAAGATGAGTGACAATTTACACGGGAATTAAGCATGTTACTTCGATTTCTTGGACTGCCCAGACATGTAGACGTGGAGACATTCCTCCAAGCAGTGGAGCTTCAGGTGATCAGTCCCTTAGTCTTGGTGAATCTGTCGAAGATTGTGGAAGATTTGAATTTAGTAGTTCAAGGTGATCAGTCCCTTAGCTTTGCTAGGAAGTATTAGGTCCATCAGTCTGAAAGAATCTAAATTAGATGCTCGAGGATGCTGGCTTATATACTGGAGACAGGAGGGGTGCAACATTTTGAAGACGGCGATACACGAGGAAGTAGGTCGTGCTAATAGATTAATCAAGCGTAGAGTAGAAAAGTTCTGTGCACAGATTCCAAAAAGTTGCTGTGTCTGACAAGTATTTGATAGCAATGGTTTCTGAAAGCCACACTTAGGTGAATAAAACACATGTTAATACTTGGGTTTCTTTACTGTGATCAGTCCCTCAGCTTTGACGAATCTATGACTGTGGAAGACGTCAAGAAGTAGGTGGGGGAAGTCAGTACCTCAGTCTTGCTAGGAAGTGGTCAGTCTACCCCGATTTGTTGCTGGGCAAGTAGCTCTGGTCAAGGGATTTTCTGTATCTATTAATTTCAACTACAACACCCATGTTGGCTCTTCGGAGAGTCAGGGTGACGGTGCTGGCAATCTGTCTTGTGAGGAGGAGCAGGCGACTATCAATGTTGATATATTCTTTGCGTGTGTTGTGCATGAGGAAAAGACTGTTGGCGGCAGTGGAACCATGTACGATGGGAACTTTAAGTTGGTAAACACCTTAGTGTGTTATTGTTCTTCCGAAAGATGTTCATCACTACAGATTCGGAGTGTTGGGAGGAGGAGATCCATTATAACTCCCCGTCGTGGTTTCGAGATCATGGTGGGAGAAGTAGTGGGAGATTATCCTTGGTGGTGAGCTTTCTAAATACTTTGTATATCCATCCTTGACAAGCAAACCATCTTGCGAGTATTCCTTACGTTTAAGAGTATCTCCATTCTTGAGGAACGAAACATCGAGAAATAGGTAAAAAACACCTCTCTCTCTCTCTCTCTCTCTCTCTCTCTCTCTCTCTCTCTCTCTCTCTCTCTCTCTCTCTCTCTCTCTCTATCTCTCTCTCTCTCTCTCTCTTCTTCTTCTTCTTCTTCTTCTTCTAGTGTGAACTGAGAGCAAAATACCATCCACATGCTTAAGCCAAATGATATATCGTGAGGTGCCGTCCTTAAAGCAGCCCCCCTCAAGTCCCTCTCTTTCTAGTTTACTTCTCTTCTTTTTTCTTAGGGGAATGCGCCTTGAGCAGACCTCAAGTGCCACAGAGTTAATTCTTTCTAGGCAGAGGTTCGGATCCACGTTGTTTAAGATATCTTTCCAGCTTGTTTCATATAGGATATGGTTAATTTGATCCCACTGTATGTTTCTGATATCGAAGTTGAATTTGATGACGACACCCTCATAACTGATCTCATTTTGCTGGTCATGAGCCCTGCCCATACATGTTTGTATCACCATGTAGTAAGCTGAGTGTATTGTCTTTGAGGCTGTTATATTTCGTGCCAGATCTTCATTATTAGTGAAGATAAGGTCAAAGGTATCGTACAATCTCGTTGGCCCCACTGTTTGCTGGTTTAAGGTGAATTTGTTGCAGAGATTTATTAGCTAGTGTGTACTCACCTATTTGTGGCTGCAGGGGTCGAGTCACAGCTCCTGGCCCCGCCTCTTCGCTGATTGCTACTAGGTCCTCTCTCTCCCTGCCCCATGAGCTCTATCATACCTCGCCTTAAAACTATGTATGGTTCCTGCCTCCACCACATCACTTTCTAGGCTATTCCATGGCCTGACTACTCTATGACTGAAGAAATACTTCCTAACATCCCTTTGATTCATCTGAGTCTTCAACTTCCAATTGTGACCTCTTGTTCGTTGAATTGTTTCGAAATTGCGTCTGGTTGTTTGTAAGCAAAGACAATGACAAGATTTTATTTATCAATCTTTACTGCCAAAACCTCAGCTACACAATTTGCGGTGTTTACTGATTCCGAGAAAATAAGCATACGTAAGTCATATATGATCATACGTAAGTCATATATGATCATACGTAAGTCATATATGATCATACGTAAGTCATATTGATCATCGTAAGTCGTATATGATCTACGTAAGTCATATATGATCATACGTAAGTCGTATATGATCATACGTAAGTCATATATGATCATACGTAAGTCATATAAGATCATACGTAATCATATATGATCATACGTAGTCATATATGAATCATACGTAAGTCATATATGATCATACGTAAGTCATATATGATCATACGTAAGTCATATATGATCATACGTAAGTCATATATGATCATACGTAAGTCATATATGATCATACGTAAGTCATATATGATCATACGTAAGTCATATATGATCATACGTAAGTCATATATGATCATACGTAAGTCATATATGATCATACGTAAGTCATATATGATCATACGTAAGTCATATATGATCATACGTAAGTCATATATGATCATACGTAAGTCATATATGATCATACGTAAGTCATATATGATCATACGTAAGTCATATATGATCATACGTAAGTCATATATGATCATACGTAAGTCATATATGATCATACGTAAGTCATATATGATCATACGTAAGTCATATATGATCATACGTAAGTCATATATGATCATACGTAAGTCATATATGATCATACATAAGTCATATATGATCATACGTAAGTCATATATGATCATACGTAAGTCATATATGATCATACGTAAGTCATATATGATCATACGTAAGTCATATATGATCATACGTAAGTGTTTATATTCTATTAAGATATTTTTCCAAACTTAAAGTAAAGGGAAAAAACGTGTTGAACATAACGTAAATATGTGCAACACGTTATGTGATTCCCATTGGTTGATTTACCACATTATGTGAACCCTTGTGATTCGGTCATCACATCATGTGACAAGCGGAGATAGATATATCACATTACCATCCACATCCTGTAGCTACAGAGACTAGATAAGTAAGTATAATTAAGCACTTGTACACATAAGTACTGCTACTCTCTGTAACGACCGGGTTTGTACAGGTGGAGGGTCTTCAAGGAACTAGCTTGGGATAACTGCCTTGTTATCTATGAAACAGTCGGCTTTGAAACCGAGTCAGGTTGAATATTCTTTAGTGGTTCGTGGAATCACCGCTCTCGCATCCCTGTCTCAAACATGACCTCCTAAATCATAATGGAAATATAACAGAATCATGAGCTTTGGTAAAACTGAAAGGCAGAACACACCTAAGCAGAAGACAGGAAGGGAAAAAAAATTATAGGAAAGGAGAAGAGGCAGAGAGAGAGGAGGAGGAGGAGGAGGAGAAGGAGGAGGAGGAGGTCAATTCACAAATGTTCTGAACTTTACAGCATTTAATAATGTAATGAGAAAGGAAGACATCTACAGAGACAAGGTGTGTGTATATGGGAAAGTCAATGTAGAAAAGAACTGTGCAGAGCAAGCATTGATTTGGACAACGCCTCGCTCTGTGTAGAGCTTTATCAAGTCAGTCAGTTGGCATGATAAAGCTATACACAGAGCGAAACGTTGTCACAATGAGGGCGTGTTTCACACCCGTACATTTTCTGCCATAGCAGCCACATTAACAAAAGTTGCTCCCGTGTAAAAATAACTAGATTGTTAACAGAGTTTTATGTTAAACACCGTTAACAGAGTGGAAGTGTATAATGTGAGTTATACTACAGGAGTGTGTTACTCCACAGGCACAGGAAGACAAATAACACCATTGTGATATATCCAGAAGTGGCTGCTGGGGCGCTGTCCTTCACTGCCTCCTTCTTAACATCATCGATCTCAGTTCTCCCTACTTCGATGTCCTCCCGGCGGCTGTCGGTATGATTCTCACATCCCTCCAAGTGAATTCCTTGCCTGTGTCTGTTATTAGTTCCATTGTCCTGCTTCAGGGGCCGAGCGCAGTCGTTCTTGTAGGGTCCAATGCAAGCAGCACTGGCCATGACGTGAGCCACGTAGGTCTGCTCATGTACTCGGTGGAACAGGTGGCTCATAGGACCTATGGAAAGACACAGAAGAGAAACATTTCGGCTTCAATCGATGTTCTCGCACGGCGTGATCGTTGACGACACAGTATTTAGTTAAGGCTACTCCAGTTATGAGCACTGTTTACAACTGGTCGAGATACAAGGAACAACACGAGAGAAAAACAGTGTTCCTTACCTGCTCTTGCAAGGGCACGATGCAAAGGCGACACAAACACGTGACGAGCATGAGACAAACACGGTACAAGCATGAGACAAACACGTTACAGGCACGACACAAACACGCCACAAGCTCATCGCGACCACATCATACTCACCACATAAACACGCCACAAGCACGCCATATGCATGCAACACACTACAAAACAGGAAAGACCCAAGTAGTAAACTCAGGTAGTTTACAAGCTGTATAAACTAGCATACCTGCAGCGAAGACTGCCACGTCCTCGCCTCCGTGTGCCTCATGACCAACTTGAGTGGGCACGGCTGCCAGTGCCACGTAATCCTTCTGATTTGTGTCAACACCTGTCAAGTTGGGTCGCACCACCTGTGTACATAATAAAAGGCTTCGTCAACGTTACCTAACTTAGATATTAACCGCACTAGCTCAAGTTAATAAGTGGATACATATATAAATTCCATTTAGTTTGCCGAAGAGGATAAAATGGCGAGAAAGACTCACCTTAGGGAACAAAAAAATCACATTACCGTGACTAGAACAATACAGAAGATAGGATGATAAATTAGACACATGTGCAACTCTTGGGTATCTTTATTAAGGAAACGTTTCGCCACACAGTGGCTTCATCAGTCCATACACAGGAGAAACTTGAAGAACAGGAGGAGAATGAGGTAATCAGTCCCTCAACCTTGAATCGATGTGGTCAGTCCATCAATCTTATTCTATTCAAGACTGATGGACTGACCACATCGATTCAAGGTTGAGGGACTGATTACCTCATTCTCCTCCTGTTCTTCAAGTTTCTCCTGTGTATGGACTGATGAAGCCACTGTGTGGCGAAACGTTTCCTTAATAAAGATACCCAAGAGTTGCACATGTGTCTAATTTATCAAAGTGTCGGTTCTGTGAACCATTCATCTACAGAAGATAGGAGCTTACGACGACGTTTCGGTCCGACTTGTGCAATTAGTCAGTGGTCTAAGTCGGACCGAAACGTCGTCATAATGACTCACCTTCATCATAACGTCAATGTAAGTGGTGGTAACATCTCTCTCACCTTCTGACCATCCCAGGTGTAGTTGTATCCCTGGCCGGTGGTAAACATGAGAGTGGTGTAAGGAAGTCCATCTGTCACATACTCGCTTGTCGTTATTCCTGCGGGTCAATATTGCTCTCTCTCAGTAGGAATACACACACACACACACACACACACACACACACACACACACACACACACACACACACACACACAAACACACACACCTAGCCAAGCACGTAAAGAAACTAGAGAAAGTGCAAAGGTTTGCAACAAGACTAGTCCCAGAGCTAAGAGGTATGTCCTACGAGGAGAGGTTAAGGGAAATCAACCTGACGACACTGGAGGACAGGAGAGATAGGGGGGACATGATAACGACATACAAAATACTGAGAGGAATTGACAAGGTGGACAAAGACAGGATGTTCCAGAGATTGGACACAGTAACAAGGGGACACAGTTGGAAGCTGAAGACACAGATGAATCACAGGGATGTTAGGAAGTATTTCTTCAGCCACAGAGTAGTCAGTAAGTGGAATAGTTTGGGAAGCGATGTAGTGGAGGCAGGATCCATACATAGCTTTAAGCAGAGGTATGATAAAGCTCACGGCTCAGGGAGAGTGACCTAGTAGCGATCAGTGAAGAGGCGGGGCCAGGAGCTCGGACTCGACCCCCGCAACCTCAACTAGGTGAGTACAACTAGGTGAGTACACACACACACACACACACACACACACACACACACACACACACACACACACACACACACACACACACACAAACACACAAACACCGTGAGAGATAGGGGGATATGATAACGACATATAAAATACTGAGAGGAATCGACAAGATGGACAGAGACAGAATGTTCCAGAGATGGGACTCAGCAACAAGGGTTCACAGTTGGAAGATGAAGACTCAGATGAACCACAGGGCTGTTAGGAAGTATTTCTTCAGTCACAGAGTTGTCAAGAAGTGGAATAATCTGGGAAGTGATGTAGTGGAGGCAGGATCCATACATAGCTTTAAGAAGGGGTATAGTAAAGCTCACAGACAAGGTAGTGAGTGATCCAGTAGCGACCAGTAAAGAGGCGGGGCCAGGAGCTATGAATCGACCTCTGCAACCACAATTAGGTGAATACAGTTAAGTGAGTACAATAAGAGAAGCTTTAGTCTAAAAATAGCATCTTGAAATCTCGACATTTTTTGAAGGGGGGTTTTTGATCCGAGGAATTGAACTTGCCCTCCCTTTCTCTGAATGGAAATCTGATTGTCACCCATTCCCTTAGGCGCTATATAACCCATATGGAAACCATACCACGGGCGGGGATAGAACCCGGGTTCTATCCCCGGGGCCCGTGGTATGGTTTGTTTGCAATCGTGTCATTACGATTTCGTGAATACCCCATATGGGTTTAGCGCCTTTAATGAGTCTAAGCTGGGGGTTAGCATGGACCTGCTTCACATGGGTCAATAGGCCTGTTGCAATGTTCCTTCTTTCTAATGTTCTTAATATATTCACATTAAAATCAATATTCTCTCCCGATACATTCATTATTTATTCAGTTTCCTTTTTTAAAACTTGGTAAGTAGAGTTAGTTAACGTGACTGACTCTACGTCACTGGAAGAAGGACTCTACGTCACTGGGAGAAGGACTCTACGTCACTGGGAGAAGGATTCTACGTCACTGGGAGAAGGACTCTGCCTCCAGAATTGTGTTCAGTTGAATAATCCTCACGTCAAGTACAGCTCAGTGCTTGACAGCCCTTACATTAAAATCACATTCCCCGACTTTTTCTTGGGATTATCTTAGGTAATGTACATATATACTGCTATGTATGATAATTTATGTAAGTGTATTTATGTATACCTGTACGTGAATAAACTTATTTAAGCATCAAGCAAGCAGGTGTGGGCAGCACCTAGCAAGCAGATGTGGGCAGCACCTAGCAAGCAGGTGTGGGCAGCACCAAGCAAGCAGGTGTGGGCAGCACCTAGCAAGCAGGTGTGGGCAGCACCTAGCACTTACTGCTAGTGAAGAGAACGTCAGTAAGCCTTAATTAACATGTACATCAACATCATCTCCACCTCCTTAATTAATCT